AGATGAGTAAGAGAACAGCTCTGCCTCTACATGTGAGACTGCTGTTCCAGCTCTCCCTGGGAGCAACCCAGGAAAACATACCAAAGAGCCATCTCCCCTTTTCAAAGTCTACTAAAATTAACATTTCTCTTTATTTATTATTCATTTATTTGTATTTTTATACAAGAATCCTACCCACAGGTTTTGAGAGGCTGAATACATTCTTTTTGACACTGTACTAAACCAGATTAGAGTCTATTTTGAAGGCTCTTGTTTTGAAGTTCTCCCTCCATGCCTGCAGTTCTCCTGCAGCTTCACAGGTGCTATTGGGGGGAAGCGCAAAATCAAGAAACCTGTAGGTGCCTTCACCTCAGTGCCACCTCAGCTAATTCTCTCCCTGCATTACAGGGAAACATCACCATCAGGGCAATTTTCTTAAAATACTTTTTCTGGAGAAATTCCACAGTGGCTGCAGGTGCATGGATAGTTTGTGCACAGTGAATGCCTTAATGTTAAGTTTTGCAATGAAACCTTGGGATAATAGTGAAGTTATTGTCTCCTCATTGATCTGACTTCATCAGCAACCTCAGAGGAAAATAATTTGAGCCTGTCTCCTGCTACAGAAATACCCCATACACTTTCCTTTTATCAAAGACCACAGCAGGCACCGTGCCTGAGTTTGAGCTGTCAAAAAGGAAGATGTACATAAACTCTGCCAACTACTTTCTTCATATGCTACAACTTCTACCTAGTGCTGTTTTCTCACAAACAGCTGGGAAGCTCCTTTTTGGGCTGACAGTGATCAACCTTCACCATCCTCATAGCCAAATTAAATTAATCAGCAATAAACACCAGGCCCAGTTTTCCCCTGCTCATGAGCTAGGGGACCTCATTATTTTCAGAATATTCATTAGACTCTCCACTTACTCTAAAAATAGGAGTTTTTTTCACAGCCAAGGGACTAGTGGGCAGCAGATTCATGCATTTATCTGTTCCACAATACAAGACATGATAACTATGCATACTAAGACTATGCCTTCAAGACACAGTTACCATAAATAGACTCCACATTGTCAAAGCACTGGTTAACATTCACTAAAAGCAATTAACTAATTCATCTTCAGGGCAATCCTGTGAGCTAGGTAAAACTGATATAATTAATGCATGAGTAAAATGAGATTTAGGAGTTAAGTCAGTTGTCTGGGCAGAGGTCTTCACGGTCTAGTGGATTAGACATCTGTCTCTTCAACCAAAGAAGTTGAGTCTAATCCTTTTTCTGACATTGATTTGCTGTCTGACCTTATGGAAAGTCAATTAAGTTCTCTGCCTCAGCTGCCCTAGAGATAATGATACTTACCTTTCTGGTGACATGTGGGTCCTTGGAAAATGTACTAAACAAGACTTTTCTTGAATTTTTAAGGCCTATCAATGGAAAAGGTGAAACATTTAAGCTTCCTAGCTTTAATGTCCTTGCTGTCTTATCAAATTCCTTCTCCCAACATTGGAAATAGCTTGGGGGAAAGGAGGAATTTCTTAGGCTAAGATGCTGCTAGCCAAAAATGTGGCTGGCATTAGAACATTTCATCAGATGCTGTTTGACCAGCAAATTTATTAAGAGTTCGGGTCAGTGCCAGAACCACAACAGGAAGTTTATTTGAAGCTTGGCTGTGGAAGAAACCAGCATCCTTCCCATGCTACCACGAGGCAATGCACAGGCTGCCACAGCCAAACCCACCGGGCACCCCGTTCAAAGTGAGTGAGTCTATTGCACCATCTCCAGTTCCCTTGTACCTCCACATGAGATTTCTGCAGGATAATTTCTGTAGGTGGCCTTATCACTAGCAGGGATGCAAGCCTGGAGAGAGAGAACCTCACGGAGCAGATCCACCTGGTCGTGCCATCTCTGAGCACTGAGGAATTATATGTAAGAGTAGGACAACTAAAGCCTGCTCTGTTTAGTTCAGCAGATGCCATCCTTGAATTTCTGCCTTCTCGCCAGCATGGGTTTTCATGATGTGACATAGGGCACTAAGAAGTACTGTTTCTGTGGCTGGCATTTTAAATGCTTGGCAGATATCTAGGCTGGTGGTGTATGCATGTAAATTTATACCCTTTTTCCTGTATCTGACCTTGCTTTTAATTATTTCTACAAAATATTCTGTTGTTATATATATAACGCCTCATAAGCCCATAAAACCTCCCACAATTCTAACATAGCAAGAAACCAGTCAAATGGGACATAAGAATTCAATATTTCCCTTCATTTCTGGGAGCAAGATTAACATTCCTTCTCTTCAATATTGGAGGAAAACATTAGGGCTTTTTTCCCTTTTTCTTGCTAAATTATACCAAGTGCAGTGAACACTCCTGCAGCCAGAAAAATAAGCTGCTCCTGCCTGTGATGGTCGCTTCTTGGCATCCTTCCTGCTGCCAGTCTGCCCCTGAGCTAGCTGGTTGGTTTCACTGCCCTGCTCTCTCCACCCTCTGACCTGTCAGCACTCGTCCCCTCTCCACCCTCCCTGCTCTATTGATAATGTGTTTAACATTTACTTTGATGCTATTCCTTGAGGCTTTTCAAAGCCCTTCTTGGTACGCAGACCGTTAAGAAGAAACCCTTTGGGGAAAGACAGAGATGAAGGCTAAAGCAAAAAGGGCATGTGCTTGTGTATAAATACCCCTTTAGGCTTCGTCCTGCTGCAAAAGCTTGAAGATGACTTAATGCAAATCCATATTGCTGTAAACAGGGAATAAATATTTTATTTTCCTAAAATACATCTGGGCTAATTCAAGAAACCCTGACTTAGAGGCTGCTACTTGTGCAAACATCTGCATATTAAATCACAATACATTATTAATGAGCAGTCAGATCAGTAATACAGATATTCCCAAGGCTGAAACATTGTCTATAGCTTGTCCCTATATATTCACTTACTGCAGAGGCTACTGGTGTGGATGGACTAGCACAGGCCAAATGGCTTCCTTCATGTCTATACACCATGGAAGGGCTTAGCCTTGTAACAGATTATAAAACATAGTCTAAGATTGTATACTGAGTGTGACAAGGAGCATGGACTAAAACCATATTCAGCCTTCAGTATCTCTTATAAATGTTGGGTTTTCCCTGGGTTAAAACTACCTGTGTCCTAACAGCTGATTGATGTGTAACACATTTGGCCCAAGCAGAACATAAAATTGCATTCAGACAAACTGCTGGGTTTTTGTCAACACTATTGAAGACTGTACTCCTTCTAAAAGTTTGTAGCTTTTATAGTAATGTTACCTTCTGCACTTTCATGTTTGGTGTTTTTGTGTGTGTCTTACTATATGGAAAGCTGGAACCTGCACCTTACAGCACCTAATCTACTAACTCATTGAAGCATCCATTTAACTTTAAGGTTGAGCTTTAAGGTTGAGATCTCTTCTGCATCAGACTCTTCATTTAAATATGTATCTTTTAGTTTTATATTGCATAATTTTCAAGATTTCATAAAACTATCCAATGTATCATAGAATCACAGAATGGTTTGGACTAGAAGGGACCTTAAAGATCATCTAGTTCCAACACCAATGCATGGGCAGCGACACCTCCCACTAGACCAGGTTACTCAAAGACCCACCCAACCTGGCCTTGAACACTTCCAGGGATGAGGCATTCCAGGGATGAGAATATCCCAGTTCCACAATCTGCACTAGAGATCAACAGGTATGACTTCAGCTTTTTCCATCAGTAAAGACTATGTAATACCAGGAAGAACAACTTGCTTTTCTTTTTCGTTGTAATTCTTTGCAGTATCTTTTGTTTAACTCTGTATAGAAATAATGACACTTTCCTGAGAGGTGGTTTCCCATTTCTAAGTTTGGAATGAAATGGATGGTTTGCATGTAATTTTTTAAGTTGAGTGTAAAGTCAGATAGGCTTTGCTGTAAATTAATGTTGCTGAAGTAAACGGACACAGTTGAACCTGCAGTGGCCTTGGAAAATATTGGTGGCTATTTAGATGAAACTGGGTCTATCTGGATTGGAATTAGGCAGTGAAATCAGGTTCACTCAAGTTTGGTAATTTGGTAATCGTAAATGTAAATACTGTTTTTATTTCTTAGTATGATCACTAGAAGACAATGCCTAGCCAGGATTAAACCACGGCTAGTACAGACGAGAAGCAAAACTTAATCTTGCTAGGATTAGTGACTCTAAATTGATACGACTGAAAAAACATTGCAAAATGCTGACCTTAGGTGGCTTTGGGGACTAGCCTGGTAATTTTCACGTGTCTTTAGAGACACTGATTGCACCTGGAACCCCTGATTTGATTACTGAAATAAAAAAATGTCTACTGTAGTAGTCTCATCTGTACTTTAATTAGGAGCTTTGTATTTAAATATAACCATTTGATCCCCTGAGGTTATTTTTAAAGTAATCTTCTAGCAAGGCAGCAGTGGGGGGTGGATTAGAGGCTTGGAATTGAGGAAAAATTATCATTCAGGTTGTTTAGAATAATGTGTGCATATATACATGTGTATGCAACATCATGTAACAAGATACAGGACTAGATTTATCAAAGCCAAATGGAAAGACATTTCCTCTTTTAATATTCTAGATCTCTTTTAAAATCTGCAGTATAGAGATATTGCACTGCAGTCTGAGTCACATAAATACCACAAGAGCACATCAAGCTGATACTGTCCAATGAAAGCTCCATTTTTTTACAAATGTAAAACCAAGTTATGAACTTAGCTGTCTCCACCTACTGTTCCACCTAAGAGTGGCTGTTACTCTTGATGTGGATAAATAAGACATATCACCCATCAGCTGAGCTGAAAAGCAGCAGTGCCAGATAAAGTACACTCATGGAAAATGAGCAGCAGGATAGTGGCAGGGGTGACAGACTGGGGGTGCTAATGAGCAATGTTAAAAGGGGAGGGGGGCTAGGAAAGGTGAACAATTTCTACAAGATGTGGCTGAACACAAGGAGGCAGATAACAATGGATTTTTCCAGTTCTTATTTCAGAAGAGAACTTACAGCTTCCAAATTTTAATGGGCAAGCATGTGCATCCATGGGGAAATCTTCAAGCTGCATTGGACACTCAGCAGAGATGGTCAATCTGTGGGAAAGTAAAAAGAAAACACATAAGTTTTGGGTTTTTTTTCTGGTGCCTTCCCTTTAGGCCCAGTGCCGGCATGTGCAGGGCTCTGCTGGAAGGCAGCCTGGTTCCTTACCAAACTGTTGCCCAAACAGGCAAATATCTGCAAAGAAATCCGTAACACTCTACTACCAGAATGCAAAAGTACCCCTTCCTACCACAACAGGCACATGTAGCCATACTCCCCACCTATATACACTTACCACCTCATATGACCACACCAAAGTGAGTATTCTTGCCACAAGAACTTCCATCCAAAGGATCATAAAGAGTAAAAATCTGCACGTGTACAGATGGCACAGCATTCAGCCAGTCCTATTCAATACAACACAATGATGCCTTGCTGGGGCACTCCAGCTACATGAACAATAAATTGGGGGAAATAGCTCCATTCTCTGCCAACACACAGAAATTCTGGAGCTTTACCAATAGCTGGAAACGGCAAAATAAGCACAGAGAAATGCAACAGATTCAATGGCTTGAGTTCATATAATGAGGATGAGCTGGGAAACAGAGAGGGAAAAAGGCAAACTCTAAAGACCAATAGAAAATATGAAGCCAATACACTGTATGAAGCAGAAGGAAAAAAAAAAAATCCAGCTCAGAACAGAGATAATGTATCATTTGTTAAGAACAGGCAGAAAGTTTACAATACAGAAAACAAATTAGTGAGGCCTGAAATACCTGCCCTTAGGCAAAACGTTTTTTTTTGTAAAAAAAACTTTTTGTAAAAGAACTTTTATTTTTGTAAAAAAAAATATCTCAAAATCACTAAAATACAGAGTTGACTGCAGTAGGGGCTACCCTTGGGCACCAAAACCAGCAAAGCCACAGTCACTGAGGCATGAATTAAACAAGCTGGTTCTAGTACCATCCTGCCCAAAACTTTCATCCTTTTCATAAAAATCACTCTAACGTGTACTTGAAAGAAGCTACCATCTCTCCCACACATAATTATATTTTCTGTACCAAGTATTGCAAATGTAATCTTCTTGATAAATTCAGGAACCTTGCTCAAAGTGCCATAAGAAAGCCAGTGTGTTTTACTGCAGTCCATCTCCTGTCTCCATCTAACAACAGTTCAAGTATGTTGTTTCAAAGGATGCAGCTTGACAACATTTTAATACATATACTTGTATTTTGCAAACATCAAAGGAAGGATCTCTACATCCATCTTACCAAGACAGCAGCTATGGAATAAGAAACTGAAGGACAATTTAATGCAGAATTGTGAATAAGACCTTCTGTTTCACCTAATTGTCCTATCAATTGCATCTCTGGAAATAACCTTTGTGTGTAATGAGGAAGGCTGTAAACATGGAGAAGTGAAGATAAGGTGCACAGTGACTGTGACCTAGTGGAATTTAACTGAGTCCCTCCAGAAATTATTTTCACCTGTCTTAAATGAAAAAGTAGCACAAAAGGCTGGAGGACACTTGGCTGCCACTACCTGTCTTAGAAGCTGCAAAGACCCTGGTGGTGCCAGGGCTGCTCCTGTGCCCTCTCTGAATCCCTCATCCAGCAAAAGGCAGCATGTCCCTTAAAAGGATGGTTCCTGCTGCAGTCCTCTGGGTCTAGCCTACTGGTAAGGAGAACTGAATTTAGCAGCTGTTTGGATTCAGCCTTTCTTTTCATTAGCATGAGTTCTTGGGATGAATAAGTTCCTTTTACTTTTTATAAATTGTATCTACATGCTTCTTTGGTTCCCCCCTGCCTCTACCCTGGGGCCATCCTTAGTCTGGTCACCCTGAACAAATGAACTGCCTATACCTATTTCTTACATGCTATTCTTGAAAAGCATGTAGCCAAGCCTCTTACGTATATTTAAAATGCTTAGTGAACACTCTCCTAGCTACTTCTTACAAAGTCTGCATTACCTGAGGCTTACAGTGGGCAACACAACAGGAAACTTGGCTGTGGGTTCTGATAACACCACGTAAATCTCACCACCCTCAATTTCTGCAGAGCTCACTGTGACAAAGAGTAGCTGTTTCTCATTAGTGTGTGAGGATAGAGTGAAAACAGAGTCACTAAATTGACTCCTGGTTCAAAGAGACTGGATTTTCTATTGCACACAGGAAAAAAACAAAGGCAGCACAGCAGCCATCTCTTACAGTCAGGGGGCTGGAACCATGGGTCACTGCACACAGATTTGCTTCCAGGTGCAGAGACCAAACTATATATTCACATCATAGCTGCAGGAGTCACAAAGAAATTGGTATCTGGGTCTGCTCCTTCAAACACCACCTGAGGTGATATTTGCACACTTTAGCTTTTAATACTGCGTTAAAGCTTAGGTACCCTTTGCATACCCTAGTTGACACAGCCGATTATAACCAAATTACTCCCAGTTTGCATTTACGGAGAGAAAGGAGGCTTTGGCGTGCATAGAACGAACAGCCCTTGCCAATCCTTTTAATATGGTCACTCCAGAATGATCTTGCTGTGCTTGCTGCAGTAGTTATCTGAGCTAGAGACAGTCTCCAAACCAGGATTTTTCTGTCACAACACAAGCACTGCTCAAACTGCAGTTCTTTCCAACAGAAGCATTTAAAAGCTTCCCTCCTCCACCATCATTCTCTCTTAATAAAAGTCCTATGGGATTAGTCTCACTCAAATAGAGGTTTTAACAAGATTATAAGTGGTTGTTAAAGGTCCTTTACAACAGGAGGATGAAACTCTGATTTTATTGAAGTTAATGGCAAAGTTCTCCCTGAGTTCAGTGGGGCCAGTATTCTGAAATATGTAACAAACCCTGGTTACAGCTGCTGCTCTATTATTAACAACAACATTGCACTTTCATAATGCTCCAAATACTTAAACTGCTATCCAAATGTTAATCAACCACCACAATGCTATAGCATACTTTAAGTATCTGAAAAAAAAGTTAAGTCTACAAATTATCATCCATAATTGAACATGAAAGTTTAATCAAAGCTTCGTTAGGTATAGCCTTTACATAGAACATAAAGTGATTACTGATGTTCTGTTTCCACAAATTATAGACACATAAGTGAATACCCATCTAAGAAAAGCACAATTCAAGCAGCAAGAGTTCCTCACTCCAGCAAAAGTCACCTTCAACAATTTCCACTGGAGAATTAAGTAAGACGATGCTTTCAAGAGGCTGTTGCATCTTAACAGGTGGGGGGGGAGAAGGAGGTGTTAGAATCAAGGATGTTGAATTCAAGGACGCGAGGAACTAAAAGCAGATGTTTGGGAGCCAGTCACCCGCAGCAAGTGTGCTTTAAGGGGAGCCCAAGGCACTCTGTCCGACAAGTGCCTGTTTTAAAGGGGTTCCAGCGCCCCCCTGCTGTTCCTGTGGCTTCTCTCAGTGGAAGGAGCGTCTGCTCTTGCCTGTGAGAAAAGAGCTGGGAGACTGAGCAAAGCTATCATCTCTCTGCTAAGAGATGCAGAAAACACTTTCTGGAGTGTTATCTGCAGCTGCCAAGCAGGCGGTGAGGGCAGTCACCTGCCAGGGAGCCAACAGACAGCCACAGAAATTTGCTTTTTCTTATCAGCTACTAGTTTCAGCATGCAAACATCAAAACAGAGAGCATTAGAAGGGGAGGGGAGCAGAAAGACAGAGTCACCATGGCTTTTGGGAGAAGTTAACTCAAGATAAGTGTTGAATAACAAGATTTACTGATGAAGGGGACACAAGGAAAGTTTTGTTGGCTCTGAGGTACTGGGGCCAGAGAGATACGAAGCTCTTCTGCCTGTTTGCACTAATCCCCAAACCAGCTCCATCTTCTTAGTTGTTTATTTCTGTGCACTACCCTTGCCCCTGATCAAAGGGAACATTTTAATGCTTTGCTCTGGCCCCACCTGTGCTGGGAACCAGTACACGCTGTGGGGCTCAGACCAGAATGGGTGCAGAAGAGCCAAAGTGCCCTTCCCAGCACAATGCCAGACATTCCCATTTTCCTTAAAAAAAGGCAAAAGACTTCCTCAAAACTCATCTCAAACTTATCTCAACATCTCCTCTACATGCCCAAAAAGTGTTAAGTGCATCCAGCCTTACTCAAGCCACATCCCATCCCAAGGGGCTGGCTGGCTCCCAGCAAAGGGAGATGTCAGGGTCAGGTCAGACCCTTCTCATGAGCTCCAGGAGCGGCTTCCCTGCCTACTTGCTCTGTGTAGGCCCTCAGCCCTTGTAGCATCTTCAGTGTGCACTCTTGCACGCTTATGCAGGTGAGAGAATAACAGAAAGTTACTAGTTCAGGGTGTTTTGTTTTTTTTTTCAAACTGTGAACGCATCACTAGGTTTGTGAAACTACTCATTTAGGCTTGACTAAACGACACAACTATTCACACATCATTCACTGTGATGTCTTGGGAGTATTTCTATAACCAAACTGTTGCTCCTTTTAAAGGGTTGTAAAACAAGACTTGTTTCAGACCCCAGCACAGTAAATGTATAGTCCAGGGAACTGATTCTTCCTTGTGTTCCTTAGGTAAATTAATAAATGTAACATGTACTTATATGAGCAAATCTATATATACACACGTGCACGTACACACACACACACATATATATGTAAAGACCTTACTTGGTTTTGAAGCACTTCCCATACAGTCTTAAGAAACCCTGTTCATGGTGGTGACAGTGGGTTACCTAACACAGCATAGAAGTTTCAGGATGCTGATACACATTCAGATGTGATATTGATGGCTGTTGAGTCACTCTGAAACCCATCCCCGACTGCGTGACTATCTGCAGCCTGGCTCAAGGAGAGACAAGTGATTATTCTTGGTAAATCTAACACTGCCTTGCTCATGAATCTCCATCACTGAGTTGGATAAGGGGCAAAATATGGTCTCAGGACCTTGTTCTGCATCTCTTTGTGGGATGTGGAGGCAGCTCGATGCTTTTTAACGCCGGTTGTATGCTCATTTCCTTGGAATCCACCATAAAAAGAGAACACAGATCAGAAATTAAAGCTAGGACCTGGAGCGAT